TTCCCGGCGGGGGGGCAGGGGACGGGGCGCTGCAGGAGGCCAGGGACTCCAGGCGGAGGAGGTGCGGGCAGGGGCCCCCGAACAGACTAGGGAGCCCTGGACCGGGCCGCTGGAGTTTAAGGGCTGCAATAGGGCGCTCCGGCCCTGCGCCCCGAGATAGCCCGAGGCACTGGCCTGCACGGGCCGATAAGGCTGCCTGAGGGAGCCTAGTCACCGACAGCCAGCAGAGCCCAGCGGGCTCCGCTGCCCTGTGGGAGAGACCCCCCCTCCGCCCTGGGGGGCTCCAGCCCCAGGGAGAAGCTCGCAGCTCTTTCGGCCTGACTCTTCCTTCTCTACCGCAGCCCTAAGGAGACCCACCTGAAGACTAACGAGTTGCCATGGCATCCTACTACGAGATCCTAGACGTGCCGCGAAGTGCGACTGCTGATGACATCAAAAAGGCGTAAGTGCCTCCGCTGTGCATCAGAAAGCCACTCACCCTCCCTCACTCTCCTCCAACCACCTTGGGGCCCTTCAGAGACAATGCCAAGGGAACTAGGTCATTAGAAAGATTGGGGACCTCCCTCAGAAGAGTGACCCCTGTAGGGAGAAAGGAGACCCCTGGATAAGTAGGAGAAAGTCTATAGCTTGAAGTTCTGCTGGGAGCTGCACTGTCAGTTCTTTTCCCGTGTACCCTCCTATCCCCTCTCCTCTCCTTCACTCCTACCCCAACCCCCAGCCTCTAGGTGTAGGCTTTCTCAGGATGCAGTGCAAAGATGCTCAAGCACTGTGACCAGGAGGGACCAGTGCCTTAGTATCCTCCATGGCCACATGTACCCACATCTTTTGCAGCCCCAGCCCCCGTGAGCCCTAGGGAGGGGTTAAGTCTGGGGCTTTCTCACCCTCACATTATAATCTAAGCATGTATTCCCAGCACTTGCTGCAGAGGGGAGAGATAGGGACTCTGTTAAAACATTGCTACAGAGGCAGCCCTAGCAGCTGGGATGGATGGAGATCTGAGTGGTTAAAGAGGTATGTTGGGCTAACAGAAAATAGGTTGTTCTATTCTCTGGTAGGAAGTGCCTGTGTTTGTCCCCTGACCTTTTCCTCTGAACCCACTTCCTGCAGGTATCGGAGGAAGGCTCTACAGTGGCACCCAGACAAGAATCCAGATAATAAAGAGTTTGCTGAGAAGAAGTTCAAGGAGGTGGCCGAGGCATATGAAGTGCTGTCTGACAGTAAGGGCCAGAGTCAGGGTCAGGGCAGGCCATCTGTCACCCCTACTTCATGACCCATCACACTCCTTCCCAAAGCCATGCTGCCACCACCTCAGTCTCCTCCTTTTCTTACCTGACATTTAAGTGCCCCCCTCTCACAGTGACTCTGGGATTGTTTTTTCCTTTTGCTTCAATTCAGAGGAGCACCTACTGTGTGCTGAGTACCTTTTTATTCTGATCCCTGATCCCCTGTCTCAGTGTCTGCTCCCCTGGGTCTGGTAGTTGCAGCATGGGTCCTGACATGGGGAAGGAAGCAGGGCAGGTAACCAAGGTGTGCCAAGTCTCCTCAGTGTCAGGCATTGGTGGGTGTAACCTTCATGAATCCTTACAGCCTTTCTGTCAGGCAGGATTTATCATCCCCATTTTTCAGGCAAGGAGACTGTGGCTGAGCGAGGTGAAGTAATTTGCTCAAGGAATATGACTTCAGGTTTTTCATTCATTCATCCAAAAAATATTCATTCAGTGTTACGGTGCTGAGCCATCGTTGGGTACTGAGGAACAATGGAGGACAAACAGGCACTGTCCTGGTCCTGGTAGGTTTATTGCTGTCTGATCAGGGAAGACTCACGTTAACCAAGTAATGCATAGACAAGAGTATTCCAAAGGAACGAATGTAGCAGGGTGACATGATAAGGATAGTGAATAACCATTTTTTGTTAGGTAGTCATGGAAATTCTCTCTGTGACATTTAAGGTAGGCTCTGCTTAATAATAACATAGTATGAATTAACTAACATTTATTAAATGCTTGCTATGTATCGGGCACAGTGCTAAGCAGTTTAGGTGGATTATCTCATTTAATCCTTGGAACTGTGAGATGGGTGCTGTTACTCTGTCCATTTTACAGATGAGAAGAAGCCACTATGGGAAGGACTGAGCTGCTGCTAAAACCTATAGCTTGTGTCCTCTGTGCATACTGCTGCCCCCCAAGTGTCAATCTCTGGATAGTCCTCTGAGGGTCCTAGCCTGGCAGGGGAGGCTGTCATCCCAGAAGGAGGGAGAAATGACCTCATCTCTCTTTCCAGAGCATAAGCGGGAGATCTACGACCGCTATGGCCGGGAAGGGCTGACTGGGGCAGGTAGGTGGAGCAGCGGGGCCCAGGGATGGAAGTGGGTCAGGGAGGAGGGGGAGAGCAGAGTCTTGCAATGGATGCGCACTCTCGCTCTCGAGTCTCCTGGACTCTCTGTGCCTTAGGTGGGATCCTGGCTCAGGACGAGGTACACACTGTAAGCACCCTCCTTATCCTGCCTCTCCTCCAGGAACTGGCCCATCTCGGGCGGAAGCTGGTGGTGGTGCGCCTGGCTTCACCTTCACCTTCCGCAGCCCTGAGGAGGTCTTCCGGGAGTTCTTTGGGAGTGGAGACCCTTTTGCGGAGCTCTTTGGTGAGTGGACTCAGGAGGCCTGTGACAAGCTTGACTTTTCTCCCTCCAGGCCCGCCCTCCCTCAGCTGGGATGCCCTTAGGTGGGAAGCTGAGAAGGAAGCCGAATTTCAGGGACAGAAGATTTTGTGGGGGTGGATCCAGTGAGCGCTGGGACAGAACCTTCCACATGCCAGAACCCGCGTGACCCTGTCGTGACACTTTGGAGACTCGCCTTATTAAATGATAACAACAATAATTCATTGTTAGACCTCCACAGTGACAGCCAGGGAAGCAAGATGCAGAGCATCATGGGACAGCAATAATGCTATTACAAACAACGGATACCACTTTTTAGAATTAGTATGAACCCTGTAGGGTAGATAATTTTATCCCTATTTACAGACGAGAAAATTGAAACAACGTTCAAATAATTTGCTTAGCGTCACAGAGCAAATGGCTGAGCCGGGACTCATAGCCGTGTCTGGCTGACATCACACCAGGCTTATCTGCCTAACTGAAGGAGCTACTTGTCCTCCCTCCCTCTTGCCCTTCCCCTTTCCTTCCTTTATTCTTTATGGTAGACAGAATTGAACAGGGAACTTTTTCATATATGATACTGCAAAGGAATTTAGTTTGTCACTCAGTCCAAGCAAAAAAGAAAAAAATCAGAAATGGACCCAGTTGCTTAGCGTCTTCTATTTCGAGACTTAAAAGCAGGGATCCCACATTCTAGGGCTGGCTTTTCACTAGGTGATGGTTCATCTGCTTACTCCTTGCAGATGACCTGGGCCCCTTCTCAGAGCTTCAGAACCGGGGTGCCCGACACTCGGGCCCTTTTTTCGCCTTCTCTTCCTCCTTCCCTGGGCACTCTGGTAAGTGCTGTCCCTTCCCATATTTACAAGCATTCGGAGACATGGAGCCCTTTGCCTCAGCTCGTTGCATTCCCAAGCCTTCCCTCCTGTGTACCAGGAGCCCTGCCTCCGAGCAGCTCTGTGAGGAGACCCCACAAAGGTTCCTGGCCCACTGTGACTCCCTCCTGCCTGCTGGGTACAGCCTCCGTCTAACATCCTCTCCCCCTACCCCCCCTCCTCCTTTGTCCCGATGCCAGATTTCTCCTCCTCGTCTTTCTCCTTCAGTCCTGGGGCTGGTGCTTTTCGCTCTGTTTCTACATCTACCACCTTTGTCCAAGGACACCGTATCACAACACGCAGGTGAGAGCTCCTGGGGCCATACCAGGTGGAGGTGTGGAGGTGTGTGGGGGTGAAGGTATAGGGGGCGCTGAGTATGACTACAGAGGCAGGTCTTCAAGAGCAGAGCCCAGTCCATCGTGTCTACTGCAGCGTCCCAGAGCCTGGACAGGCACCCACAAGACTGAGACATGCCCACTGAATGAACCATGCTGTCTCCCACAGAATCATGGAGAACGGGCAGGAGCGGGTGGAAGTGGAAGAGGACGGGCAGCTGAAGTCTGTCACAATCAATGGTGAGGAGTGGCTCTGCCACCCAGTCCCTGGCAGGAAGCCCCCGCCCCAGACCCCAAAATCCCTTCCCCGAACTGCTCCTCTCTGAACTCCCCTGGGGCAGGGAGGGCATGATGGCCACAGGCCAGGCTGGCAGGGTCGGAGGTGGGGATCCCGGAGAAGGGGGTTGGGACAGAGGGTTGCAGAGTCTCAGAGGGCCAGCTAATCACCATAGTCACAAGTGGGGTGCCCAGAGTTCTAAGAGCACTTGACTGTTTTGAAAGCACTTGCACATTCCACAACCCCTGTATTCTTAAAACAGCTAGGGGCTGGCAGGGAGGGGAGCAAAGCAGGGAAGTTGGTATTTGCCCTCTTTTTTGTTTGAAGAGACAGCCTCAGTACAGCTAAATGGCCCTAACGCCTAAGTAGCCCCAGGCGCAGGGCTTTGTCCTACTTAGTAAAGGGTAAAGCCAGGAATGAAACTCGGGACATGAGATCCCTGGAGCTGAACTCATCTTCCCTCAACACCACGCGGTATAAGACAGTCACCATGGCTACCATTTCATGACCGCCAACTCTGGGAGCTGTGTGTTAAGGGCTTTTCACGGGCTATCTTATTTAATGATTAGAAGACTTTGAGAATGTAGGCACTTTCATCATTCCCATTTTACAGATGAGGAAAGGGATCCTTAGGGAGGTTAAGTAACTTGCCCAAAGCACTTGCAAGCTAGTTCCAAAGGAAGGGCTGTAAGGTGTCAGAGTCGCTGCTATGTGAGGCAGCCTGGCAGGATTCCCAGGGCCTGGGTCAGAGGGCCGCATGACAACCGTGACTCCTGCAGGTATCCCAGACGACCTGGCACTGGGCTTGGAGCTGAGCCGTCGCGAGCAGCAACAGTCTGTCGCCTCCAGGTCTGGGGCCACGCAGGTCCGGCAGACCCCTGCCTCACGTTCCCCCGACAGCGACCTCTCTGAGGATGATGAGGACCTACAGCTTGCCATGGCCTACAGCCTATCAGAGATGGAGGCAGCTGGGAAGAAACCAGCAGGTGGGCGGGGGGCACAGCGACGACGGCAGGGGCAGCCCAAGGCTCAGAACCAAGATCCGGGCACAGTGGGGACCCCTGAGGGTGCAAGGGGTGACACAGCCAAACCCAGCCCATCTCCAGAGGAGAAGGCCTCTCGCTGCCTCATCCTCTGATCACCAGGCCCAACCCACCCTGATTCAGGGTGACCAGGGGTCCTGCTCACTATCAGGCGAGCAGAGAGGGGCGTGACCTGAGTTACAGGCGCCTCCCCGCACCTCTGCCTCCACGCTCCCTCCCAGGTCCACACACCTCCAGCGTGGACTTGGGATTTGCTGTGCTCAGCCCATGGCTGATAGGTCCCTGGTGAAGCCCAGGGTGGAGGGTGGGGGGGGTCACAGGGCAGCCAGAGGGCCTGAGGAGTCAGGATGTGCTTACTCTTATTAGAAGGGGAGTTTCTAAGGGGCATTAGTGGCTTGGGTCAGGCTTTTTGTGCCCTGGTCTTCTGCCATCTATGTTGCTGATGATATTAAGGAAGGAGGACTTGGCCTGAGGTTCTCTGAGCCAGAGTTGGCAGCTACGACTCCCCTTGTCCGGCTGCAGACACCCCCACCCTGGTTTCTGCGCAGTGTTGAGCTCTGACGTGTCTGTCGCTTCCCTCCTGGTGCTGCTGCTTCTCCCTTGCACTCTTCTCTCTGCAATTCCCTGTGGGCCACATCGCTTGCTTTCACTGCCGTCTGGCTGGGACTCCCTTCTTCCTTCCCCCAGAGGCCTCTTTGTGGCGAGGAAGATGCTGTGGCCGGTAGGGCCATAAGGTCTTCCGGGGAGGCTAGCTGGGTGGGGCGGGAGCCTCTCAGCCATCCAGATTCGGAACCGGAGCCCACTCCTCCTCCCTTCCTCTTGCTGCCTCAGCCTGCCCCGGGCCTTGGGACTAGCCAGAGGTGAGGCTGGCTAACCCTGAAGAGGGGGGATAAGGCCAGGGTTCCCCAGGAGGGAGGCCTAGGAGGGGACCATACCCTGTCCTCCTGCACCATGCATCAGGGCTCAGGGAGAGGCCACAGGGCTAGCCCAGGTCTGCATGCTCAGCTCCATCCTCCACGGCTTGCTGCTGACCCTCTCTCCTGTCACCCGCCCCTGCTCTCTCCCCAGATGTGTTCTGAGCTGGATGTCCTGGACCCAGAGTCGCTGCACAGTTCCAACAGGACAGCGCCCAACCCTGTGCACTGGGAGGGGACCCTCCATTCCTCTCCCTCACCCGTGCTGAGCGTAGAGCCGGGCCTGGGTGGTGGGTGGGGGCCGGGTGGGAGGTAGTCTTAGCCTGTAAACGCTTCCCTGGGTGTTTGGTGCTGTCGCTTAGGGACTACAAGTCCCAGAATGCAACGCACCCTGCCTCCTATCTGATAGATCCTGCTTGGGGGAAGTGGTATGTGGTTACAGAGCTGTGCATCTTGGGACATGTAGTTCCTGCCCTGGTCAGCCTGTCACTCACTGTGAGATGGGGAGATCTCGTCATTTGATTTGTCCCTGGCAGGGGTGGCAAGAATGTGGATGAAGGGGTAATGGTCTGAGCTTTGCTTCCCTGACACCTCTTGCTAGTGCCGGGGTTAGAGTGTATAAATCAAGGCCCTGCAGCATCTGGGAGAGGCTCTTTCCTGTGGGCAGTCCTGTGGTCCAAGATTGAGCCAGGCAGATCAACTAAGCCGGGTGTGGTCTCAGAAGGATAGTGGGTA